GGAAGGAAAGGTAGAAAAAGGGGGGAAGGGGAGGGGAGGGGAGGGAAGAAGAGGAGAGGAGGGAAGAGGATCTCTTTTCGCTGCCCTTGTGGGTTTTTGTTACTGTTTTCTTTTGCTTTTTGCAGGGCTGGAGATTGAACCTAGTGAGGAAATATGGCCTGTTCAACTGGGAAAACCAAGGCCTTAGGCTCATTGCACACAGGGAGATAGGAGAGGTCATAAACTCTTTCCTCACAAAGAACTTCAGACCACTCAGCAATCTGCGGAAGACTAAAATGTATGTTTAAAATAATTACAGGCCAGAGGATGGCTCAGAATGTTTTAGAGATGTTTACTGCTCAGGCTGACAACCTGAGTTTCATCCTTAGGATGCACACAGTGAAAAGGTAGAAGCAACTCCTGCAAGTTGTCCTTTGACCTTCACATGTACATAATGGCAGGTACACACACACACACATACACACACACAAAATGGCATATACATATACACACAATGGCAAGTATACACACATGCACACACAATGGCATATACACACACACACACAATGGCATACACATATACACACAATGGCAAGCACACACACATGTACACACACAATGACATGTACACACACGCGCACACACACACACAGTATATCCAAGGGCTGGGCATATAGCTTAGTTGACAGAGTGCTTGACTCTGCACAAACGCTGGATTTCAACCACTAGTACCAAGTATGTAGTACACACTTATAATCCTAGCACTTGGGAAATAGGAACAGGATACTTCGAAGTCCAAGGTTATTCTCAGCTACATAGCAAGTCAGAGGGACAGACTGGGATACAAGAGACCCTATATCTATCAATCAAACTATTAGAACCTAAAGCTATGGTTGTAGCATCTACCTAGCACTTGCCCTTGGGTAGCTGAGGCAGTAGGATCATAAGTTCAAGGCTAGCTGGGACTGTTTCAAAGAACAAATGCCAGTGCCTTTTACTTTGTTTGTTCTGAGACAGGGTCTCAATATGTATCCCTAGCTGTCCTGAAATTCACTAAGCTGACCAGTCTGGACTTGAATTCAGAGATCTACCTCTGGCATGCTGGGATTAAAGGCTCATGACATCATATCCAGCAGCACTCTGAAAGTGGAGGCAGGCGGATCTCTGTGAGTTCCAGGTCATTCTGATCTACATAGTAGGTTTCAGGATAGCCAGGGATAAACAGAAAACAAAGCCAAAAAACTTTGCTTGGAAAAACCAAAACCAAACAGAAACAACAACAATAACAACAACACAACAACAAAAACATCTTCCTTTTCCTGTAGCTCTCCATAGCACTTTGAAAGTTTCCTCATCTTCTATGATTTATACACTTTGGGGAACGGTCTGGACTCAGTCTTCCCTACAGGTCCCACGTGGGAGAAGAGTCCACCCGAACACTGTCAACCTGTTACTAACCACCCTGGGCTACTGTTGAAATTCTCAAGCACACACTTGAGAGGGACCCAGGAGACATATAGACAGGAGGAGATTTTGTGGGTTATATGCACCAGAGTCTTGCCTGCTAGTAAGAGTGAGGCAGTCTTTCCCAAAGTTTGCCAGGCTCCTAACTGCCCTGTAAAACTGTTCCCAGAGGACCTGTCCTCACAGACTTGGCACTGGACAGGCTAGGTTCACTAGGACTACAACGACTTCACACATCCCAGATATTCTATAGCTGGTAACCAGGGAGTTGCATAAAATCAAGACCCCAAAGGGATGTTTTAGAAAAATAAAGATAGAAAATGTTTCATTCAGTATTTCTATTTGTCTAGGGGTGTGAAATGCATGAGGAAATTCTTGTTAATATTTCATTGCTTGTAAACTGTCCCTGAGGGGGCTGTGGCAGAGTTTCAAGCTTCCTAATGGTGGCTGGCAGAACCTGTGAGACATCAGGAAGAACCAGGGAGGTACGTCAGTGCCTGCCCTGAGAAAGCTTGGACTTGAAGATACTGATTGGCCGGTCAAAATGCCATCTAATGCGGCTGGCAGGCTGGTAAAGTTATGTTGTGTGAATCAATCCACAAAGCTCTGTCTACCAGGGTAATCGTGGAGAAAATGCAGTTCCTCATGCCTGAGTGTTGATCTAGCCTCTCATGGGGCTGGGAACTAAGCTATTCCAAGAGCCAACATTTGAGCTGGTAGATAGCTTACCCACCAAGCCTGTGTTTAGTCCCCAAGACTAGTGGAAGGAGAGAACACTTCCTTGCACAAGCACACACACATACACTCACAGACATATGAATTTAATAAAAAAATTTAAATACAGTCTAAAAAAAAGTCACACAGAGGAACAATTACTTGGCTGGAGTAGAGCTCCTATGGTTCTAATTTCCTCCCTTTATTTACAGCGTGTAGCGGCCTTATTAAAAGGAGAAATTGCCTCCGATCCCAGAAACAAAAATTATCGGTGGTTTGCAGTGGAAGTACCGAGTGAGCACCTGGAGTCTAAGGAAACCTAATCAGAAAGCTTAAGACAGCTTCGCACTCCAGCTGAGCTGTACCACATCCTGAGCCAGACATGATGCTTACCTTTAGTCCCAGCACTCAGGAGGTGGAGGTCGGCAGATCTGTTAGTTCCAGGCCAGCCAGAGCTACACTGAGACCTTGTCTCAAAAAAGAGGGAGACAGAAACAAAATAACAAAACCCAAGATGGTCTACAGAGATTTGAAGCCTGGTTGCCATTCTGATTTCTCAAAGCAGGTTGCATACCACGCTGCTTTTGACCTAAGTTTGTTTAGCATCTGTCCAGAACCCAGAACCTGTTGTGTATGAGTGTTTTGCCTGCATGTATGTTTGTGTATATCTTGTGTGGACCTGGGGCCCAAGGTCAGAAGAAAATGTTAGATCCTCAAAAACTAGATAGGGGTGGGTGGTTATGAGCCAACATGGAGGTGACTGGAACTCAGGTCCTTTTTAAGACAAGGTCTCAGTCTGTAGCCCTGGCTAACCTGGAACAGTCTAGCACCAGTTGGCCTTTCGCTGATGAATGCTTTACTGCCTCTGCCTCCTAAGTACTGGAATCAAGGCATGTGCTGACTCCTGCCTTTGGACAGGTTCTTGTATAGTTCATAGCTAGGCTGGTCTACATAGTTCAGGACAGCCAGAGCTTCCTGTGAGGCCCTGCCTCAAACAAGTCCTCATTTTCCTGTGACAGCTTTTGTAAGCAGGTGAAGTCAAGACAAGTCATGGTGTTAAACTGTGACAAAGACATGACCACTCACTAGCTGCCTCGCTCAGGTTTATTTCCCCTTATCCATGTCCCTTGGCTATGTGTCTTCATAGTGACTGAGGCTGGCAGCATAACCGGTTTTCACAAAACTTCCTGCCATGGAAGAGGGGGACATGAAACCACATAAGGGTCTTGACTTATGACTGCTTTAAGTATTTGGTGTGCAATTTTTTTTGTCTTCCTGTATGTATACCATGTGCATGCTGTTCCTCCCAGTCTACAACTGTGGGGAGAAGCCGGTGAACAGGGACAGTTGTCATGACCAGACAAAGCCTCCCCTAGGAGGTATCCCACCTCCTCCCAAGGACTAGGAGACTGAACTCTGGATTAGGTTTTGTGTTTATTTTTTTCTAAGATAGGGTTTCCATGTGTAACCCTGGCTATCCTGGAACTCACATCTGTAGGCAAGGCTGGCCTCAAATTCAAGAGAAAGGCCTGCCTCTGCCTCCCAGTGTTGGGATTGGAGGTATGTACCACCATCTCCCAGCTCTAATTTGTTTGTTTGTTTTGTTTTAAAGAATTATTTATTTGGGCTGGAGAGAGATGGCTCAGCAGTTAAGAGCACTGATTGCTCTTCCAGAGGTCCCCAGTTCAATTTCCAGCAACCACATGGTGGCTCACCACCATCTGTACTGGGATCTGGTATGTCTGAAGACAGCTACAGTATACTCATATATATAAAATAAATGAACCTTTAAAAAGATAAAAAAATATTTATTTTATGTATATAAGTACACTGTAGCTATCTTCAGACACAACAGAAGAGGGCATTGGATCCCATTACAGGGACCATGGATCCCATGGTTGTGAGTTACCATGTAGTTACTGGGAATTGAACTCAGGACCTCTGGAAGAGCAGGCATGTTCCCTCAACCGCTGAGCCATCTCTCCAGCCCCTCCTAATTTGTTTTTAAATAAGACTTTACTTATGTTGGTGTTGAATGTGGGTTTGTATACAAGTGCAGTTGTTCAGAGAGTCCTGGATCCCTACAAGTTGCAGTTACAGGCAATTGTGACCTGCCCAATGTGGGTGCTAGGAACCAAGCTTGGGACCTCTCCAAGAGCAGTAACATGCTAACCACTGAGCTTGTAAAAGATTTGGGCCATGAGTGGACCAGGATGGGCTTGAGAAACATTGACATTGAGTTCCCATCTTTGTCTCAAGTGTTAAGTGTGTGTGTGTGTGGGGGGGGTGTCAGGGCAGGGGCCACGGCAGACCAGTTGAGGTACTAAGGTACAATGGAGCTGGAGAGATGGCTCAGTTCTTCCAATGTTTCCAGGTCTGATTCTTAGCACCCCCATTACAACAACCAGCAATGGTATTACACACCTTTAACTTAGCACTTAGGAGGCAGAGGCAGGCAGAACTCTGTTCAAGGCCAGCCCAGCCTACATGAGCTCCAGTGAGACTCTTTCTCAAAACAAAGTGTCCCATGGGTATCATTTTCTTGCAGAGAACCTGGGCTCAAGTACCAGCACCTACATATTGGCTGACAACCATCTGTAACTCCACTTCCTGAGGCTCTGATGTCCTCACTCTTGTCTGATCTCTGCAGGTATCAGGCATGTGAGACAGACAGATAGACAAAGCATTCTCACATATAAATCTGAAAAGAAAAATGAAATTTGCCTGGGGAAGTTAGGAGCACAAAGGTATCACTATGGGTTTGGTTTGACACCAACGTGAACTCCACAGTGAGATTTGTCTCAAAAATGTTAATTCGAGAGGCTGGAGAGATAGCTCAGTGGTTAAAAGCACTAGCTGCCCTTCCAAAGTTCAATTCTTAGCAACCACATGGTAGTTCACAACCATCTGTAAATGGGATCTGATCCCCTCTTCTGGTGTGTATGAAGACAGAATACTCATGTACATAAAGATATGAATAAATAAATCTTATTTAAAAAATTACTCTTTCAAGTCAAGTATGGTGCCGCACACCATTAATTTCAGCACTAGGGAGGGAGACGCAGGAGGATCTCTGAGTTCAAGGCCAGCCTGGTCTTCAGAATGAGTTCCAGGACAACCAGGGCCACGTAGAGAAATCCTGACTCTAACAAACAAAAAGATTAGTCTTTCAAATCCCCACAGCTGTCTTATTTGGGAGCCTGAAACAGGCATCACTGCAAGCATGGATTACCAGGAGAGAGAGACGGTAAACTTGTGGGTAAACTTGTGGTCGAAGGCAGCCTGGCATCTTGAAGAGAGAACCGCTTCCAGCCAGTCTACACATGACTGACATTGAGTAACTCTGATATCTGTGGTTTTGAAACCAGCAGGAAGACCATTTTTTTTTTTAAATTGTTTTATTTGGGAAAAGTGCTTCTTACAAAAGGGCAGCTGTAAAATACAGAGACCTCTGCAACGATGACGTGTTTTTCTTAAGTGAAAGACTGGGTGAGTTCCGGGGAAGCAAGGCAGAGGACAGATCCGAGCATCTCCCAAGTTATTTCAGGAAAGAAGAGCAACAAAATGCAAAGGTGAAATTCCCGCCGAGGAATTTTAGCAACTTAACTTTCGCTTGTCTTGTAGGTAGCCGCACTCTCCCTTCTCTTTAGTGGAAGGGGGTTCCTTACTTCTCCAAACCGATTCCTCTAGTACAATCCACACCTCAGATTGGAATCCGCCTGTCTTACTCTCAAAGCTCAGGAATGGAATGAGCCAGATACCCACAAAAACAAGCACAGAACCTCACAACAGGCCCATCAAATGAGGACAAAGGTTTTTCCAGGAAGTGCCTGGACTGAAAAGGCTAGACTGTAAAACATTCAAAACATCAGTGTCCAAGACCCAGCTTGTACTGATAAAGGGACAAGCAGGTCATTTAACCTCTACAGCTGATCCCATTTGTCTAGCATACAGACAGACAGCTACTGCTACGTTAACAACTACTGACATACTGCTTGGTCCTTTAAGATCTACCTGACACATGTGGCTGAAACCACTACCCCACATCTGCCCACTACAGCTAAGAATACTGCACCTATGCTCAGATGGGAAGCTGCTCACATGCTCGCTCGTGCTCGCCCACCAAGTCCATCGACCCCTGGGAATTAACTGCCAGCTCCGCATTGATGGAACACCACTGCATCCTTCATGTGTTTTTAGATTTTTCTCATGTTAACCTCAACACATTTGTACCTGGTTCTGGTTACCCAGTAGTATTTCTTGCGTGCAATTAAACAAGAGCCCCAAACCACAGGACAAGCACATGTGATGGGGGTTCAGGGTAGGGAACAGATATAAAACCATGAAGGTGCGGCTCTCACAGAAACCTCGGGAGTCCTCCTACATCTAGCGCAGAGAGCGACTTGCCGACTTAGGTCCCTTTTTTCCCAATTGCCCCTATCCTTGGACCTCAAAGCACAGTCAGTGCTTTTTCCTTTGAGCCTCAAAGGGGTCTCAAAATGAGTGTGCAAAGTCCATGAACACAACCTGGCTGAAAACAGATGACGCAACAAACCTACACTAACTGTCTGACAGTTAAATTCATGTTACAAAAAAAACTAACTTTAAGATTTATTTTTGTAACTTTTGAAAACAGAGAAAACAACACACTCTTGGGGGAAAGGTGAGGGTAGAAGAGCAGGCCCTGGGTAGTGATCACAGCACCTGGAGTTTGAGAGGCCTGCCTAGGAGAGCCACACGCACTGCCACACAGCACAGGGGACAGCTACTGTCTGAGGCTCCGCAGACCAGTTCCCGCGCCATGCAAGGCTGCTATAGATCCAGGTCATAGAAATCCTCCAGCTCATCGTGAAACAAGTCCCACTCGTCCTCAGAGTCTGTCAGCTCGTCGTCCCCACCTGCGGCCAAAAGCATAAGCAGCATCTCGCCCAGCTCAAAGGTGACAACCTCCTCGTCCTCGTCGTCAAAGGGGGTGTTCTCTCTCTCCTCAATGAGCTCCCAGAAGTGGTTCCTTCGTTGGGCCTGTAAGAAACAAGGCCATGATAGAGGTGGCACTGTCGAGCAGTGTCTTCTATCCTGCTGCTTATAAGGTAAACCGTGTGGCAGAGGGAGGGCATGGCGGACAAGAGGTCTCCGTCGTCCGCTCTGCCAGTGCCTTCCCTTTGGCTATTTGTAGCCAACACCTTAGGCTAGGGCTTGGAGTGCATTCCTTTTCTAGCCATCCTGTCTTCTGAGGTCGGACTCCTTTACTCTGTTCTCCCCCCACACCTAAGTTTCATTCTCCCCTAACCCAATACATTCAGGGCTCAACTGACAGTGTGCTATTTCCCCTCCTTTAAAAAAAACAGCGAGAGTTACCCGGTATCTGCTTGATGTTCCCACTTTCTGTCTCTGTGGCTCTTCTCTACGGCCATCAGGGTACGCATGCTTGTAAAAACAGTTCCCTCCAAACGGGCAGCTCCCACGTCCTTCATCAAAATACCTGCACGCCTTGTTGCTGGAAAGGAAAATATCGCAACCCTTATTCACAGTGGACTTCAAGCCTGTATTGACTATCATCTGGGGCTTCTCTTTAACAGGGGCAGAACCAATATGTAGTGCACAGCCCCCCAAGATGTGTTCTTAGAAACACATGCTCCAAACACTGACTAGAAACATCTCTGCTTAAATGTACACGGTTTACCGGTGGGTGCTAACACCAAGTGAAAATCTTTTAGAATCCCAATACACAAAAATTGGTAAGACGACTCTTATGCCCTGGAATGAGCTAGAACACCCTGCACAGGCTTAGCTAGCGTAGAGACTCCACTGTAACAGTACCTCAACATACACCCAAGGACTATGTTAAGAGTTAAAAGCATGAGACAAACTGTGCAAGCAGTTATGGAGGTGACAAAAGAAGCCGTCCTGTGCAGTAAGGAAAGGGTAGGAAGCAGTGGAGTGCAAAACGCAGCACTGTTCTATCCAAGTGAGCCCGGCTGCTCATACCTCATGGCCTCCTTGTATTTCTGAATGAGTTTCTGCTTCTCTTCTTTCTCCTCCACCCAGTACTCACTTGGAATGACAAAGTTAGATGTGATCCGGCATTCAGGGCAGGACCTGGGAAACAATGAAGAGGCTGCAATGCACATTCCCCCCTCTAGGCCCGCTCTTTAAGACACACCCTGGTGTGTCACCGAGACTTAGGTTAACTGACGGGCACATGGGCATTAGCAGAAAGGGACTCCACACAGTCACAACTGACCCTTTCTTTGGAGGAAAGACAAACTCCTTCAGAAATCAACTCAATGGCTAGCCAGTTTTTTAAAAAGACATAGGTAAAAAACAAAAAACAAAAACAAAAGAAGACATTTCACACAGACTCCTTCTTTCGTTTAAATAAATTTATTTCTTGTAACTTTGCTCTGTTTGGATTATGTGGCTTTTGGTCAGTTATGAGAACAGTTTTTAAAGGATGGTGGATTTTTGGCTAGCTTAATGGATGGTATAGGAAAGTGGAAAACACCAGGAAACATACATTCAGAGCTAGATATGTTTGTTCATGAAGCCTAAACTGTCTAATCCATTAAACACAATCTCCTCAAAAAACATGAAGACTCTACTAACTGATACACAGGGTTTCCTCATTCAAATAAAACAGACAGACCAACTAACCTAGCAGCTAGCTGAAATACAAAGAAATCCCAATTAGAACACCCAGGTTCATGATAAAATACATGCATTTAAATGTGGTCCTTCTGGTTGGAAGTTGGCACAAGATACTAAATTCTTCCCGAAAAATAGAAAGCACAAACGAAGATTGGGGAGGAGTCTCACTTTATGATCTTGCTCTCAAACTGTTTAGCACTTCTCCACTTGCGAATACACTTGAGACAGTAGGTGTGGCTGCAGTTGGAGAGGATCCCAAAGCGACGCTCGCTGGGGTTGGCTTTCTCATAAACCACCTCCATGCAGATCCCACACACCATGTCCTTGCTGCGCTGAACAGCAAACGAGAGCTCCATGTCCTTCTCATGGGCCTCAATGCAAGACTGGAGGAAGGGAAGAGACAAGAGGCACAGTGAGGCCACCGCAGTCCTGAGACTTCAGTCACTGCCCCGCCGAAGACTGTTTCCAATGTGGCCTGGGAAAGGCTTGGCTCTAACCACAGGTCCACACCCCCATGGTGCTCAAAGCACTACAGTCAAACCGGGAGGACTCAACTTCCAATATTTGAAAGATTATCCTTTATATCCCAGCCCCGTAGAGCTCCACCCCCACACTTCCCCCGCATCAAAGACCTTATGAACTCCGTTGATGCTTCAGTTTCTGGGTGGAAAAATGAAGGGATTAAAGCCCTCATTTCACAACGTTAGGACACTGAACACTTGGGAGGAGGAGCCAGAAGGGGCGAGCATTCTATAGGCCAGCCCTATGCTACATGAGGTTTTGTCTCCAAAGAAAAAGAAAAGAGAACGGCTGTGGTAGCACACACCTTTAATCCCAGCACCCAGGAAGCAGAGGCAACCTGAGTTCTATGAGTTTGAGGCCAGCCTGGTCTACATTTCAAGTTCCAGAACAGCCAGGGCAATGTAGAGACCCTGTCTCAAAAATAAGAAAAAAGACGACTGCTAAAGTAAATCTGAACAGGTACTAGGTGACAGTTATGTAGGCCACACTGTTTGCATATCCCTTTAGAGAGGTGGTTTTAGTGGCTCACGCATGAGTCTGGGGAATCCCAACAAATAGAAGGCAGAAGCAGGAAGAACCCAGTATTTTGAGTTACAGCCAACCTGATCTGCGCAGTGAGCTCCTGGCCAGCAGGGGCAATGCTGAGAGACACTGTGCCTCAACAATTAAAGTTAAACACATACAAAACACTACAATATCTACGGAGACGATTCTTACATCATATAATTCACCCATTTAACAAATGCAATTAAATAAACCTCTGGTACTTTCAGAGAGGTACACCCACTGTTAAATATTAAATGTTTATCTTTTAAATTATGGAGTGGGGGAATGAAAGTGACTGCAGGACCAGTGGAGCCCAGGGGTTGGTCCTCCTTGGATTCTAGGTGGCTGTGAGTCACCAGATGTGGGTGCTAGGCATCACCTCAGGTACTGTGTAAGGCTAAGCCTCCTCTCCTCTCCAGCCCCACACTATTTATTTGAATGTGCTCATTACCCCTCATAACCCCACACTCAACAGTTGCTCCATTTTCTTCAAAATTCCCGTATGTGGACAACCATTATTCTGAGGTACACCAATTCTATGGCTTTGACATTAGCTTAATTGACTTATTATATTTTACTGCTGAGTAATATTCTGAATTCTTTTCTTTACCCATCTCCACTCTGAGACTACACATAAATAACGCCATTACCAAAGGGCACTGGTCACAGAAGCCTGGCAACCCAACAAGTGGAGGGAAACGGCTCCTCAGAATTGTCCTCTGTCTTCTACAAAGGGTTGTGGCATTTGTGAGCACACATGAAATGATAAACTTAAAAAGAAAGCTGAGTGTAGGGCTGGAGAGATGGCTTGGCAGGTAACCGCCCCGGCAGCTGCTTCAAAGGACTTTTGTTCAGTTCTCAAAAACCACAAGGCAGCTCCATAGCTCTTGTTCCAGAAAATCTGACACCTTCTGGCCTCTGTGGGCATTGCATGCATGTGAATGAATATGCGTGCACACAACTGCACACAGCACGCACCACCCATACACATAAAAGAACTAAATCTTTAACCTCAGTGCACTGCCACTGGCAATGTAAACAGGGCAGCACTACACATCACCGGCCATCCAGCCAGCCAGGAACTCAAAGTGCTAAGCAGAATTACTAGCTGACCCAGCTATTACACTTCCAAAGGATATCCAACATAGGGCCAGCCCGATAAATGACCTAGCAGAGGTCAGAAGACCCACTGCCAGGCCTAGCAAACTGAGTTGAGGGTCTCAAACAGTGGAAGGAGAGAACCATCACCCAAGCTGTCCGTTGACCTGTACATATATGTGCTATGATATACAACCTTTCCCACAATGAGTAAACTCATGTAAAAGCAATTTTTAAAGGATAGCTAAGATAAAGACACATGTTCACAAAAACACACAATGAAACAATTCAAATTAATTAATCAGTAAAAAAAAAAACACAGTATTGAGGCGGGAAGGATTACTCAGTAAACTGCTTATTGTACAAACATGAACACCTGGATTCGGGCTCTTAGTATGTGTGTGAAAGCCAGGCACAGTGAGTGCCTTTATAATCCCAGGACTGAGACATGGAGAAGACAGGCAATCCAACCGGTGAACTCCAGATTTGAGTGAGAGACCTTGCCTCAAAATTGAGGTAGAAAACAATAAGGGAAAATACCTAACGTTAACTTCTGGCCTCCATGTACGCATACCCACATAAAAACACACACACACAAATGTATAATAGCCATACAATCAACATGCAACCACAAAATGAAGTATGAATACATACTCCAATAGGAAAAACCTTAAAAAACATCATCTAAATGAGAGGAACTAGTTACTGAAGGTCATCCATACTGAGTGATTCCAGCTACATAAATCATCCAGAATTGGCAAAACACCCAGAGAAACGAAGTAGACCCACCATTGCCAGGAGCTCAAGGAAAAGCAGAGCTGAGGCTAACCACTAAGTGGGTATAAGGTTTCTTTGGGGGGATGAAAACGACCTAACTTAGAATTATGGTAATGGCTAGACAATGCTATGAATATATTAAAAAGCATTGAAATATGCATTACAAAAGAATTATAAGAAATATGAATGTCAGAAAAACTCAGAACAAAAAAACCAAACAACCACCAACTACCTTTTACCCTAGTCTGAGGTTCTGGATCCAGAACATCTCTCTTTAAGAAGCATGTAATGCCATAGCCCAGCTCCCCAGGCCCTCCTGCCTTTGGCCTCTGCTCTGCCTGCATTATTATACAGGTATATCTTTGACAAAACACTCTATAAACACGAGGAAGTACATCACCACTTATTGGCTCCTCATACTTGGCACCAGCTGCTCTGAGCACTTACTTTGATGTGCTGTGACCTCTGGGCAGCATCCATTGGGTGTAGGACCTGCAGGCCACACATGTCACAGGAGTCTCCGTGGAGATACACACAGTTTTCCCCATAGCGACACTCTCCCACTGCAGCATAGGGGCAAAGCTGCTTCTTTGTCTCCACCGTAGTTGGCTCCTTCTCTGACTCTTCCTTGGTCACTGAGCCCTGCAGGGGTACTTCAGTGCAGGAAGGGGCAGCTGAAAATGTTTAAGACGGTAGTAAAGGTCCAAATACAAAAGGCAATTAGGAACTATAAGGTAACAGAGAATAATAATTTAAAAAAAAATTGAAAAAAAAAAAAAACTTTAATGAAACCTAAAGTCCAGCCTACTGAACAAACTTTCACTTTTTTTTCTCCTTGGGTTTTTGAGACAGGGTTATACAGCCAGGCTGGCTTAGAACTCACTCTCCGCCTACCTCAGAATACCCAGTGATGGGAATACAGGTACACACCACCACTATCCAGCTCCATTTTGTTCTTTCTGGTTAGATCTGAAAAACCCAGGCTGGCCCTGAACTCGACAATCGTCCCACCTCAGCCTCTCTAAAGCTGGCATTACAGGTATGCGGCACCAAGCCCAGTTCTGTACATGAATGTCTTTAGCAGTGAAATGTGGTATTAGTAAGTACTGGTTAGTAGGGGGATCATCAGGAGAATCAGGAGCTCAAGGTCATCCTTAACTACTTGAGGAATCTGAACCATAAGACACCCTGGGTCAAAAAAACAAAACATCAAAGGACTGGTTGTGGGCTGAGTGTGTAGCTTAGTGGGAAAGCATTTGCCTAGCACGTGCAAAGCCCAGGGTTTGATCCCAGCACCACCAGGAGCAGGCGGGGGACAGCATTCGGAGACACTTCAGTTTTTAAACATCAATTCATTTTATTGTAGTTCAAAAAATTTCTTTTACTTCATCTTTAAATCTTAGATAACCCAATCTAGTGTGTTGACAGTAGGTTAAGCTCAAACACTGCGAACAGAAAAGCTGACACTGAGTTCCTGTGGCCTGTCATTTAGCCCTCTGATTGCAGTTTACAGGGTCCTCACAATACTTACTACGGCCACAGTAGGGCTGCCCAGGGACAAACTCAATGGCATTCACCCAGTCCTCTGAACCTGCTCCTACAGTTGGAAAGTTTGGGTTTCGTGACTCAGCTTCGCCTGGATTCATTTCAGCAAGTGATCCAACGCCAGAAGAGGGACTTGAGGAAGCAGCAAGGGATGGTTTTGCACTCAGATCTGTAGCAGTCACTTCTTCCTGTTTCAGTGGCTTGCTGTGTTCGTATCTGACACAGAGAAAAGTAAGCAGTTACCATCCAGCTACAGAGAGCCCCAGACTCTTTTCAAACATCAGTGTGAACACGAACATGAGCTGGGAGCACCTGTCAAGACTTATTCCTATTTATGTGTGCCTCTCTGTATGAGTGGGTGTCCAGAGGTCAGAAGGCAGCATTTAGATCCCTAGGGCCTACCTGATATGAGTGCTGGGAAGCCATACCCAGGTTCCCTCCAACAGCAAGCACTCTTAACTGCTAAGCCATCTCTCCAACCCCTAGACAACCTTGACACAGAGGGTTTGGCTATGTAACTCTCAGGCTAGCCTCGCACTCATACAGCTCATACTAGCTTCAAATGCATGGATCTTCTGCCTTAACCACTTAAATGCTGGGATCACAGGCATACCAACAAACCTGACCTTGTCCTTTTCAACCCTGTAACGCTATGGATCGACTCCAACCATGGCCTTGTGCATATAGGCAAGGACTGAGCTATGCCCACAGCCCTAACGTAAGTCTGGAGTGGAGCCCATTACTCAGCGTGTCTAGGAACCCTAACTATGATGTCATATTACTGATAAAGGCATGAGACCCAGACTTAGCAAACTTTACAGGGTCAAGTACAACTGGATGATGGCACACACCTACAATGTCAGCTATCTGGGAGACCAAGGCAAGAGGATTCCATGTTTAGGGTCAGCCTAAGAAACTTGCTGAGACAATGTATCAAAAAAATTTAATAAAGGCTTTCCTGAATAATACTAGCACTTGGTAGGCTAAGACGGGACAATTACTGCAAGTTGAAGCCATCTTGGGCTATAAATTGAGTTCTACCTCCCACCTACCCCTCAAAAGAAACCGGCAGACAAAAAGAAACAAAAAAACCCAAAGCTAAGCATTTTCAATTAATTATTTTTTCCTCACTATCTGGTAGTAATAATGTCTACCAAGCCCGAGGAACTGTGCCTCCTACTGTGCAAGCCTGTGCACGAAGCCTCCTTACGAGAGAACACTGCTTTGAAATGGCCACCAGATAAGCGGGGCAGCAGCAACTAGTGTCTCTGCCATCTCTGTGGAGCTTGTCTCAAAAAATAAAAATTAAAAAATGGAGAAAAATCTAATTATCAAACTGTAGAATCTATGTTATGAGATTATATTCAAAAGTAAATGGAAAGAATATGAATGCACAAAAAAAAAAAAAGTTTTAAGCTGGGCAGTGGTGGCGCACGCCTTTAATCCCAGCACTTGGGAGGCAGAGGCAGGCGGATTTCTGAGTTCGAGGCCAGCCTGGTCTACAGAGTGAGTTCCAGGATAGCCAGGACTATACAGAGAAACCCTGTCTTGAAAAAAACAACAACAAAAAAAAAATGAATGCATATAAAAGACGGGCCCTGAGGTGGTGGCGGCGCACACCTGTAATTTCCAGTCAGATAGATCTCTGAATTAAGTCTACATAGCAAACTGCAAGACAGAATTATATATTAAGACTGTCTCCAAAATAATAAATAAGCTACATTATCAAATCTCCCCAATGAGACAATTATTCCCTTATAGATCTGCATAGAATATTTTTTGAAGCAAAAACTAAGATATCAGGATGTTTGGGTTTTTTTTTTGTTTTCTGCCTCCATTTCCATTCCCCTCTCCAAGTCACTGGGACCGAAACTTGAGCGACTGGAACTAACTTCCCCTCAAGGAGCCTCGTCTGTAACATCTACAGAAACTGTCCCGCAAAGAACTGCTCATTGCTCATTCGGCATAAAGAGTGGAATCCTGACATCTCCCTTAGGCAGTTTAACAGCAAAAGACTAACAACCATTAGGCCCTGAGACCAAGGGATCCATTTCTGACCCCTAACAGTTAGTTATGAGGGAGGGGCTTACCTTTTACCCCATCCTTACTTACTTACTGGTTTTCTAACAAACCCAGGTAAGGATGACATCCAAACATTTGTACCCAACAGCTAACTATCAATGTACTGGTCTATCTATGCACGCACCTATCTACCCATCTACTTATCTATACATGGCTGCGATAGATACTGAGTTACCTTGTGTAGAAACTTTTATCCTTTCATTCATCCACCTAGCCATCTATTACCTGTATGTGGCTGTGACACAGGCTACAAGTCTTACCTAGTGTTGTGGTTCCAAACACATCCAAGATGCTTCTCCAAAAGTGGAGCCCAATACCTCTTCCCTTCAGTGTGGCAGAAGGGAATGACTTTGTCCAGATGTTAATGAGAGTAACAATGTGTTACCTCTGGGACTAGGTCATAAAAAGGCAGCATTGTATCTTTGCTGAGCCTTCTCTGACGACTAGAGATAAGTACTTCTCAAGTCATAAGCATTTTAGAATACTATGTACAACGCTACTAGAATTATATGTACAACGATAACAGAATGATCTATTTTATTTTCATTCTTCAACCCACCCTTAACCAAAGAGTTTATAAACAAATCCTTACCTGCAGCGATCTCCATAAACACAGTACCCTCTTTGAAAATACTTGCACACTACACCATATGGACTGTCAGAGAGGTCATGAGAGTATCGACAGTTATCTCCTTCCTTACAAACCCCATGCATAAAATATCTGTAAGACAAATAACCAGAAATCTACATTAGAAGACTAAAGTCAACTCTCAAAGAATTCATTACCACCAGTCTCCTGGCATGTTCACAACTGTAGCAACGAACACAGTCAGCCCAGGCTGGAAGACACATTTGGGTCAACAGTAGACAGCACACAGATCAAGGCAGTTGTCCGGAAAGAAAAACTATCCTTATGTAGGATTCCTTTTGTGGGGAGGGGGGTGGATAAACTAGGCCCTCATAAACACAAGCAGTATATCATTAAGCTGCATCCTCACCCCCCCACCCCCATTTTAAACATTTATCTTGTTCACTGAAGGTCGACTCTGGCCACTGTCCTTGTTTTACAGCCCTAGAGGGGTAGCTTTAGTATTTTCCACTAACTTCAGTTCTTAACCATGACTATCCGCAAGGCACATCAAAGATAAAGAAACCACATAGACTACAAAGTGTCGGGCTACCCGTTATATTCAACTTTGTCAAGGAAACACTTTTAACTCCTTAAAAGCCACATATGAAAAAAGCAAAATTAGGCCAGCAACTTTAAGGGAGACATGATTAGTACGTTCTAGACACCAACAAACAGGGACACCATTACATGAGCATTTGCTAGACATGTAAACTTAGACCCTCCCAGCCCTATCTAGTACCTAGTGCTATTCTAAATGGCAGCGTGGATTCGAGAAGCTGCAAGGGATATTTGTAGAGCCCCTCCCTCACCTCACCTCACTCCTGCCAGAGTCCATTTTCCTATCCCCAGCTCTCTGAGCAGGACACGAAACGTTACTTTTTGGCGTGCCAGAGAAAGAGTAACTGTTTCTTGGGTGTAACTTTGGCCTTGCAAAGGGCTCTGCTGTCTGCTTGAGCCACCGCTCAGTGTGTGAAGAGAGTGTGGGAATGTTTACCACAGTGCAGGGCCCACTAAACTGAATGCTATGGTATATAAGAACCCAGCTGCTAAGAGCACATACTACATAGTACTCTTGCAGAGCTCACTCCGGCATTAGACCTAAGTTCAGACTAACCTGGGGTACACAGTGAGAGCCTGACTCCTCACTTCCCACCTATCCCTCCCCAAAAATCCATTGTAATTGGTAAATAATAAATTTCAGAAACCGGGTGGGGTGGTAGACACCTTTAATCCCAGCCAGGGCTTGGAGGCAAAAGTGGGCAATGAATCTATGAATCTGAGGCCAGCCTAGTCTACACAGTGAATTATAGGACAGCCAGAAATACAGTGAGTCTCAGTGTCCAAAACCAAAAATAAATAAATTTCAGAGGGAATGCTGTGGAGGTTGGGTAAGGGACTTCTAGAACCTCTCTGGTTTAAAGGTATAATGTATCCCCAAAGTCATATTAGCCACATGGGGGGGGGGGGGGGGTAAATGGGAAAAAAAAAAAATCAAGCTTGGGTCGGATGAAGCTCAGTTGGTAGAGTGCTTGCCTAGCAGATGCCTAGGAAGTTTTGGGTTCAGTTCCCGGCATGAAACAGGCACTGGTGATGCTGAAGGCCTGTGATTCCACCTCTCAGGTGACAGAAACAGGAAGATCAGAAGTTCTGTCTAAAGAAAAAAAAAATCACAGGTGAAAAAAAAGGGGGGTATGGACTCCAAGGCCAGTCTCTGTAACCCAAGTCCCAACTCAAACAAAACAAAACCAAAACAAAACCAAACACAAAACAAAAGCCAAACCAGCTGTGCTGCCACATGACTTTAATGCCAGTACTTGGTGACAAAGGTGGCCCAAGCCTTTACTCCTAATACGTGGGAGGCCAAGGTGGGATCTCTGGGTTTGAGGAAAGCCCGCTCTCACAACAGCCAGGCCCCCAGAGAAGCCCGGTCTCTCCCGGTCTCTAAACAAACAATAAGGAGGGAAGAAAGAAAAGAAATTGCTTCGGATCCTTGTGTTATTTCAAGATTTCTCTATGTAGAAGCATCTAAATTAAAAATTACTGTCTGGGAGCTGGAGAGATGGCCTCTCTCTCTTTCAGGACTGACTGAGGTTTGATTTCCAGTGCCTACATGCTGGCTCACATGGGAACACATGTGGTCACTGGGAACACAGGTGGCACAGCATATATTCAGGCTAAACATAAAAAATAATTAAAATCATTTCCAGCTTAGAGGCTGAAGAGATGGCTCAGTGGTGGGAACATGTACTGCTTGAGCAGAGGCCCCATTTGGATGGGGAACACCCATCGCAGGTAGTGCCCAGCTGCTGTTACTCCAGCTCCAAGGAGACTGACGCCTCTGGCCTCTGTGCAAGCATGTCATTCACATGAACGGACACACACAAAATAAAAATGAAAATACATTTGCCATTTCTACCATATTGACTTCCAGGACAGCCAAGGCTACATAGTGAGGCAATAGACAAACATTAGCTGTCTTAGCTCACACCCAAGGCAGCTAGCAGTAAGGACTGACTTTCTCTCTAAGGAAAGCCTGCCTGTTGGTGGCAGCATAACAGTTTCGCAGCAGAGGCATTTGTTTCTTAGGCAGCACAAGCAAAACACAAAGAGAACTTCAAGATCATGGACGGTAGCTAATGAGAAAGGGAGTCTGAGTAATTAATTACAAATGAACACTAGCTGAGTGAGGTGATCTGTCAACAGGGCCTGCAAGAGCCACACGGTGAGACCCTGTCTCAAAACAGACAAAAAGAACACCCTTGGGCTGGAGACGGCTCAGTGGCTATAGCACTTGCTACTTTTGTAGACGCAGGTTCGCTATTCTGCACCCACAGGGTTGCTCACAGCCACTTGGAACTCCAGTTCCAGTGGGTCTTAACTCCTCCCCTGGCCTCAGTGGTTACAGTACAGATACATACATTCAGGCAAACACTCATACACATTAAAAGTATAATCTTTTTTAGATTAAAAAATAGAGGATGGCCGGGCGTTGGTGGCGCACGCCTTTAATCCCAGCACTTGGGAGGCAGAGGCAGGCGGATTTCTGAGTTCGAGGCCAGCCTGGTCTACAGAGTGAGTTCCAGGACATCCAGAGCTATACAGAGAAACCCTGTCTTGAAAAACCAAAAAAAAAAAAAAAAAAAAGGGATGTAGAGATGCCTCATGGTTAAGAGCATTTGTTGCTCTTCAAGTTCAATTCTTAGTACCCATGTGGTAGATTAGTCTGTAGCTGCAGTTCCAAGGAATCCGAGGCCCCCTTCTAGTGTGCAGATATACAAACAGACAAAACATCCATTTATATTAAGTACATACATGAATTTAAAACAAAACAAGACACAACAAAACAAACATACTTTTCTAAGCAAATGACTTTAAAGAGAAATATGCCCTAATATAGAAAACATTCTTCTTCAGCGGTGCGCAGATGGCTTAGGGGTGAAGTCTGGATCCCAGCACTCACCTGAACAGTTCACAACAGCCTGTAACTCCAGCTCAAGAGGGAATGTGATCCCTCCACGGGCACTGGACTCACATGCAGACACCCACACATGCATTCTCAAAAGCAGGTGTTGCTGTCAAGCTCACTTAAGATATTTACAACAAGGTACATTTCTGCAGTTAACTCTCAGTATACACTCAATGTTTTCTTTGCTGAATATCAGAAAGATAAGCACGTTCTAACAAGCCATCTCCCTTTAGCAACTTACAAGTGTGCTTTAAAATGATTCCGAGGATGAATGCATGAAGGTTTATAAGTAAACAATTTCTACACTTTAAAGATTTTATTTATTGGGCTGGAGAGATGGCTCAGCGGTTAAGAGCACTGACTGCTCTTCCAGAGGTCCTGAGTTCAAATCCCAGCAACCACATGGTGGCTCACAACCATCCATAGTGAGATTGGATGCCCTCTTCTGGTGTGTCCGAAGACAGCTACAGTGTACTCATAATAAAATAAATAAATAAATAAATCTTAAAAAAAAAAAAAAAGATTTTATTTATTTATTTTAGGTGTATGGGTGTTTTTGCCTCTATGTATTGTATGCCATTGTGTGCCAGAAGTACCCATGGAGGCCAGAAGGCGGCGCTGGATCCTCTGGAACTGGAGTTACAGTTAGTAGCCAGCTGCATCCTCTGTAAAAGCAGCAAGGAAGTGTACTTAACACTGAGCCATCTCTCCAGAACCACTGTACTTTTCCCCCCTTTAAAATGAAAGCAAAAATTCCTTCAAAGCCATATACTAGAGAGTTTTAGTTTTAACCGTATCAACATCAGTTGGAGCATTTACTATGCTGGGCACTGAGGAAAAGCCCCGCAGGTATAATAAAATAGAACTCTGCTCTCAAAGCTCAAAGTCTAGAACAAGGATTCCACAGTTGTTATTCCCCTATTCAAAAGAAAAAGACTTTAAGAGAGATCGTGTTGGCAGCTAGAACAGAAAACAAGGTCAGCAATTATGCCCAAGGCATATCAAATAATCTGTGGTTTCTATTTGTAGAGGTGGGTCACGCCTATGCTACCAAGGCTGGTCTGGTCAATACAACATCCTGCCTCAGCCAACTGACTAACCAGAGTACAGGTGTGTGCAATCATGAAGGATTCTACATGCCACCATTTAAGTGACTCTGCACATTTTTAGATGACTGGTCTAAGCAAAAGCTATGGAGAAAGGCGGGCAGTGGTGACATACGCCTTTAATCCCAGCACTTGGGAGGCAGAGGCAGGCGGATTTCTGAGTTTGAGGCCAGCCTGGTCTACAGAGTGAGTTCCAGGACAGCCAGGGCTACACAGAGAAAAACCAAAATAAATAAATAAGCAAGCTATGGAGAAGAACATTTCTTTGACTCTAATCCTGAGAAGAAGCAGGAGAACCTCTGTGAGTTTAAGGACAGCCTTGTTTACACAGGAAGTTCTAGTCAGCCAGAGCTATGTAATGGGACTCCATCTTGACCCACCCCTCCAAAGTGCAAGGAATTTAAAAATATTTAAGTATGTAAGCCTGAATGAAGCCTTTTCCTTTCTATTTTGGGGGGTAGGGAGTTAACTATCCCAGAGCCTGGAGCCCAGGCTGGTCACAATCTCCTGTGCAGCTAAGACCCTGAATTCCTGATGTTTTGCCTCAACCTCCTAAAAACACTATTATAGTTAGATGTACATGTCGAGGTTCACAAACAACAGCTCCAGGTAAGGCCTAGAAGACTCCATCAATTCAGTGACCCTTAGGGATCTGGGCTGGCCTGTGTTTGTAATTCAGCATTTAAAACCAAGCTCCTCCCGAGCCACACCACCCCCACGCCATGTAGGAAGCTCAAACTCACACTGCATTTTTAATCTCAGCACTGGGAAGGCAGAGGCAGGTAGAATCTGAGATAGAGTCAGCCTGATCTATGGAGTGAGTTCCAGGACAGCCAGAGCTACACAGAGAAACCTTGTCTTGAAAAAGAAAAAAAAAAATGTAAAACATAAAAAATAAAAAGCCCCTAAATGGAGGCTGGAATAGTCTGCTGAGGAACTAAAAAGAGGAAACAGGGAGAAGCAAACGGGAAGCAGGGCAGTTTACCTCATCCCCACCCTCTCTACGGAGGGAGTATAGAGATGTCTATAATCTCAGCACTAGATGGGGACAGAAGGGGAAGGATCAACAAGTTCCAGCCATTCTGGATTATATTAGCCTCTGCATCACACCCACACCACACCCACACCCACGCCTCGAAGAATAAAAAAGGGGTAGAGGCAAGACATCTTTGTTGATACAATGAAAGCTGAGTTTGATTCCTGGAACCCACATAAAAATGAAAGACATTAACACTGTCCTTTCAGTTTTAGTCCACCTCTCCACAGGTGCTGGAGGAACAACCGCCACACCCACACCCCCACATCATAAAAAAAAATTAAGGGGAAATGTTAACTGGATAGTAGTGGCTCACCCCTTTAATCCCAGCACTCAGAGACAGAGGCCAGTAGATCTCTGAGTTCCAGGCCAGACCGATCTACAGGACTAGTCCCAGGACAGCTTAAGGCTACATAAAGAAACACTGTCTCAGAAAAAAAAGGGGGGCGGGGAGGAGAGGAAGGAAGGAAGAGAAGAAATATTGAAGCAGAAATGTATAAAGTTGCAGGCATCTGACAGGATGATAATGAAATCAGTTATGAAATGTTATTTGGTAATGGGTATTCAGAACTAGACTAGACGAAGATAGTAGATGAAAGAAAAAAATCAAGGTATTTAAATTTTCAATATCAGCCCGGGTAGAAACACTATCCTAGCACTAGGAAGGCAAAAGCTGGAAGATGGAAGCTCACGGCCAGCCTGGTCTATGTAGCAGTGTCAGGACAACTAGGGCTGCAAAGCTGGACCTTGCCTCAAAAAAGAACAGACCGAGAGGAAAGCTTTAACCTGGCGTTATTAAATGTGTTACAGGAAAGACTGGAAGGCTGGGGATTCTTCAATTTCAGAGTTAATATCAGCATCGAGTTCTTCATTAAGAATAGCCTTTAGCATATGCATATAATAAACTGTCCTTGTCGGGTGAAAAATGACATTTCCTTTTAATCGTTTTAGCCGATAGAAAGCATACAGTCCTTCCTGGTAGTTAAATCAATATAGTCGGGCGTGGTATCATCTCACTCCTGCAGTCCCGAACTAGGGAAAGGCAAAAACAAGAGGATTGCCGAAAATTCTAGGGTAGTCAGACTATATAGGTCAGCCGGGGCTTCACAGCAGGACTGTCTCAATAGCCCCCCTCCCATCGTTAATACAAACAATCCTCCAACGTTTATAGTTGGGTTTTTTTTTTAACATGCGTACTGTATAACCGCCACCTGATCATACATTTTCTTAATTTCGTCTCACTTACCAAACAAGAACCAAACCTTTCTCCTAGGATCTCCTCCCTCTCAAAGAGACAGTAATAATAATGGCAGTTCATAAAATCAAGGTTGGAGGAGCCTAACGCCGGCTCCGAACGCTCGGTTCGGAGACAAAGCTCGGAACCGCCGACCACCGACTTACATACAAAGGCATACAAAAGCGGCTGCTCCCGGCGGGGCGGGGGTGAGCGGCGCAGAGAGCAGAAAAGACGTTACAAACGGATAGCCCGGCGCGGAGCCCCGGGGCCGGCCGAGCTCGCCGGGACCCTTAGAGGGTCTCAGGGCGCACCGAGGGTCGTTAGAGCCCGATTCGCATCGGCGAGCTCGCGCCGCATCCCCGAACCTGTGGCGATGGAGGCTGGAGCGGAGACACCGGTCCTCTCCGCACGTATCGGGGCGCCGGTGGGCGAGGGGAGGTGGCGGGACCGCTTCGCAGTCCGAGCCCGCAGTCTGAAACCCGCAGCGATGCCGCGGCCAACCTCTGCGGAGGCTGACGCAGCGATGCTGTGCGGGCAGCCGCAGCAGGGACCCCGCGACGCCCGCCTCCGCCTCTCGCTCAGCCCCGCAGCCCCCGCCCTCCGCCGCGCCACGCAACGTCCTACCTGCAGGTGACCTGTTTCGTCCAGCCGCCGCCGCTGCCGTCGCTGCCGCCGCCCCCTCCTCCCGCCCCCGGGGACGGGGCAGCGACTGTGGGGATAGAGGTGAGGGAGGCCGCTGCCACCGCCGCCGCTGCCGCTCCTGCTCCTGATGTTGTGGCTGTTGTTCCGGGAGCCGCAGCCTCCGCCATTACTGTTTATCCCACACAGCAATGGCCCCGGAACTTCCGGGATCACATAGTTCCGGTCCGGCTGAGAAGGAGAAGACAGCGAAGGGAGGGGAGGGGAGGGAGACTGAGGAGCCCGAGAGCTCCGCGCCAGTCCCGCGCCGTGTCACCGCGTCTCCCAGCGCTCTGGTCTCGGGAACGGCGGGCTCCGCTGGGTGCTCGCGGCCCTCCTCCGGCGACGCTGATTGGTGAGGACTCGGGCTCCGCCCTAAAGGGGCGTGGCCGAGCGCTTCGCCAGGTGTGTTTAGATCGTCCTGGTCCTCGCCATCAAAGGACCATAAGCAAGGACCAACCTCCACCTATGGCTGATAAACACAAGTACAAAGTCGGGGAAGGCCCGGGGGTGTGTGTCTGCTCTCTCCCTAGTATGAACTGGATACCTATTGTGTTGGGATCTGTTTCCTTCTCTCTCGGGAGCACGGTAGCCACTGTCTCCCCGAAACTGTTAGAATCCCTGCTGATGGAAATGCCAGGTGGGCCTGCGGACAGACATCTTGGAATCCCAGTAACCTGAAGGCTTGAGTATCACAATGGCTGCAAGTTCGAGGCCAGCCCATGCTACATAGACCCTGTCAAAATAAAAATAATAGTAATGATGTAAATAAAACACTATGTGAGATAGCCTATGGTTGTAATACCAGCTCTTGGGAAGCTAAAGGAAAAGTGTTTGGTTTTGTACCGGAACAAGGACCTGAGGTGCATACCATTTTACATACCAAAGCAGACCTGGTGTACAGGTTCTCCCAGCATCCCTTAGTCCCTAACTGCCATACCCTGCCCCCAACCTTGAACTTTCCAGGCCAGGGGCTAGGCTGCCCTTCCCCCCAGAGGCTCCTCCCTACATATTCCAGACATTTTGGTTTGTCTCTTCTCCTTCTTTCTGCCTGCATGCCCTTTCTCTCACCCTCCCTGACCCCATCCTGCCCCATGGCGACTCCTGAGGCCAGTGAACTAGCCCACCCAAGAGCAGCTTCCCAATAAACCTGTCTTTAGTATAATCTTATCTAGTATGAATTGGCTCATCTCACCAGCATCAGAGAAATAACCTATCAAAAAGGATCACAGGCTTGAGGCCAGCCTGAGCGACACTGCAAGAATCTGTCACTAAACATAAACTTCAAGGGCCCAAGGACTGGCTCCGAGCAGCTAGGCCCGTTCTCCTAAAGTTTCCACCATCAGGCTGTATTAAAATCCACCGACGAGGTCGGTACTGTCATGAGCCAATCATTTCTCCACACTGGAGACCAACACACATCGCACGAACTTCTGAGGAACGTTTTAGATCCAAAGTTCTCTCTCACTCCCTCTCCCTCCTCCTCAGTATGTAGACCTGGCTGGACTTCAGTGAACAAAGATTTGCCTCCCAAATACTGAATACTAGGATTTAAAGCCTTCACCACTGTCCCCGTTTATTTAATTTTACTTTGAATCTATAAGGCTTGTTGCACAGTTGTTGGGGAGGTAGAAATGTTAGCAATAAATTCAATAGAAAAGTTCTTGTCACTGTAGTCATCCACGGGGACGGGTCATAGCCCTCTGAGGTGTTAGCGTCAAGACTTCGTATGCTGTGGTCTCTCATATCTGAGCCAATTACTAAGCAAAGGAAAAGACATATTCTGAGTGGACAGTGTATCCAGTTTCACATTGTGCTGTGGTCTTGCTGTCCGTACCCTGGCCCAAAGAGGATCAAGCAGCTTTCTACCACATAGGCTTGTAGAGGCCTCTCTACTGCAGCAGCCAGGGAAGGCAGAAACAACTCTTCCACAGGAGGATGCAACTGGGGCTCATGGGATACTTGCAAAACTAGGCCAGAATAAAACCCCTCGAAGCAGGGCTCTATTACTACCTCCCTCCCAGAAGCCTTTGAGGCGGTAGAACAGTGCCAGCAGAGCATTCGGTGAGCCTGATGTCAGCAGGGAGGAAACCAAGAGGCTGTGATAGGGACGTTGTGTTTGAAAGCACCAAAGTTTCACAAGGACAGGAGTGGACCTTCCAAACTCAGGGAAAAGCTTTCGTCTTCTCTCCCTGCAGTATCAATGATCAGGGCATAGGCAATCCACAATCAATTTTGAATACAGGCACCCCCCCTTCATTTTTTTTAAAATCAATTCAAAAGTTTATTAGACATAGAAAAAACCTGATATCTCACAGTCAGTACTTAAGTTCCTAGTTAAATAATACACTTGAACAGAGAATCACTGTACTTTTGGCCTAAGATGTGTTGTTGAATACATGAATGAGTGTACTTGCCCCAAATGTTCAACATAAATAAGTGACTGATAGAAAATTCACCGCCAGTACTGGAACCAGCCAGCTTTGGGCCCTGGGGAATCTTTTGTTTAGCATCACCACATCCACATTGCTTAGTCTCAGCAGAGGTGGTGTAGCCCACACTCCTGGTTCCACGGCTGACATTTTTTTTTCCCTGCCTGACCATAGATCCACCTTGCCCATGCCCTGCCGCTTTGCTTGGAGAAGGCCATGAAGAACCCACATAAATGCTAATGGGTAGAACAGCTGTATGCATACACTTGAGAGTAGTGGGCTCCAACGGGGTGGAAGAGGACAGACAGGAAGTTATCCCCCCCTTTTTTTTTATTTCTTTCTTTTTGTAGGCTTTTGAGACAAGGTTTCACTGTGTAGCCCTGACTGTCCTGGATCACTCTGTAGCCCAGGCTAGCCTTGAACTCAGAGATCTATCTGCCCTGCTGCCTCCTAAGTGCTGGGATTAAAGGCATGTGCCACCATTGCTAGTATAGTCATTTAAGGTGTACAACATAATCCAAATATATAAGGAAGAGATTATTGAGCCGGGCAGTGGTGGTGCACGCCTTGAATCCCAGCACTTGGGAGGCAGAGGCAGGTGGATTTCTGAGTTCAAGGCCAGTCTGGTCTACAGAGTGAGTTCCAGGACAGCCAGGGCTATACAGAGAAACCCTGTCTCAAAAAACTAAAAAAAAAAAAAAAAAAAGGAAGAGATTATTGTTAACAATAAATCCATTACCTAACAAGTGCCTTTGTGTATGGTAAGAAGGTAAACCTTTCAGAAAAATTCTAATGTATACTATGCTATTTATTATATATCTCATTTAATAGATTAGATCCCTAAACTTATTTGTCCTACCTACCTACCTACAACTTTGTACCCTTTGCTGGGATTTCCCCATTTCCTGTCCACCATCCATGGCAACATTGTTTTCTGTGTGGTTCATTTTCTAGAGATCCCACAACTCTATGCCATCCTTAGAAGTCTAAAAGCAAGGTAGGGGTCACCGAAGCGCCCCTGGAGCCATTTTTTTTTTCTTTTTTTTAGCCAGGTTTCTGGCTCTTGCCCAATATCTGCTCAAACTTCCTCAGTCTGGTTGGAAACAGGGCCTTGAAGGTGTGCTGGAAGTATCTCTGTCAGTATTCAAAAGACATAAGTAAGTTCTTCAGCCTTTCTAGGGCTGGCGTGACAGGCATGTTGAGGTGGTAGCCATGCACCACAATAACCGCTCCCCTCTTTCTTTTTCATAAATTGTTTTCCCTGTTTGGTTATTTAAGTTTTAGTAGTGGTTGTGAGTTTTGTGCTTGTTGAGCTCAGAAGAAGGCATCAGATCTTCTGAGAGTCGAATTACGGACAGTCTTAAGCCACTGTCAGGTGGGCCCTGGGAACTGAGGAGCAAATGGTGCTAACCTTTGAGCCATCTCTCCACTACCCCCCTGCCATCTCTATCTTCTTACTGTTACAGCTCTAATAACTGCACATTGTAAACATGTAGACGTGTGAATGACTATGAGGAAGACGCCAGCCAAGGCGTGCATTGGATGCAGACTAGGTGCTCGGTTTTCATTCCCTCAACCTGTGTTTAGTGAGAAAATGAAAAGGACGTGAAAAGGAGAGACGACAGAAGCCATCTTCGTGTATCGATTTGTTCTGAGAAATAAACCAACCTGCTGACTGAGAAGTTGGATGCCTGACAGGGGAGTCCTATCTGCAAGCAAAGCTTTCGATCTAGGAACTTGCAGTCAGAGATAGCTGTGGCTTGCAGTTGGAGTTCACAGAACAGCAGTAACCCAGGCTGGTTGGGAGGGAGGGTGTCAGCACAGGTACAATTACAAACTGACTTTTAAATAAGTCGGGGGTGGCGGCGTGGGCCCTTGCCATAGACAGCAGGTGAACAGACATTGTAGAGCCCAGGATAGTGTGGGAGGAAGCCAAAGATAGCTCTGCAGTGCTTCCTGAGAGCAGAAAGTCCCCTGCTCAAAGGAACAAGCTGCAGCCAGCTGCTGGTTGGATTTGGTCCTGCAGACCACCCCCCACACACTGGAGACCCCAGCAGGATTTCATCCCTCCTTCTAACTGGGATGTTCCCAGGTCACACGCAAGGTTTCTACACCCAAACTCTCCTGAAAAATAAATCAACCCTGTGTCAAATCAACATATCCTGACCATTTATTTATCAGAGAAGTTGGCAGGTCCTCCTGGTCTCTAGCCAATTGATAGCTAATGTTCGGTATCTTTAAAGACCACATGTAGGTCATGTGACTTCAGATTCCCCTGTTCTCATCTTTGTTGCCCTTTTCTGCTTTCTTCCATTTTAGATTTATTTATTTTATGTGCGTGAGTATTTTTGCCTGCATATAAGTCTGTGCACCATATGCATGTCTGGTACCCATGGAGGTCAGAAGAGGACATCAGATCCCCTGGAACTGGAGTTGCAAATAGTTATGAGCCACCATGTGGGTGCTAGGAACCAAACCCAGGCTTCCTAAGAGAACAAGTACTCTTACCCACTGTGTCATCTCTCCAGCCCCCTCCCCTGTTTTCTACGAGCTCCACTCTCTAGTGTTAATAACCGCAGGCCTTCTCATATCCTGGGTCAATGGCTGACTACTGAACACCCACCCTACTGACAGTCTTATAACCTCCTCTCAGCCTGCCACCCAAAGAAGCGCCATTTGTCATACTGTCTTTCTGTGCCATGGAATCCTACTTTAGTGAAAGCCTATAGACTTCCAATGTAAAATTGGGCAGTTAGGGGCTGAAGAGATGACTCAATGGTTAGGAGTGTTTGCATCTCTTCCAGAGAACAGGAATTCAGTTCCCAGCACCGATATCTGTCTGCAAATATCACCTAGAACCCCCAGATTCCGGGGATTTGAT